TTCTCAGAGATGGTTCCCTTCGAAAAATTTAAATATCTTGAGAATGGAACAAAGTTTTTTTTCGAACGGCTTGTTTCAAAATTCTTAAAACTCTTGCCTTTACAACATATATAAAATTGAGCAAATTTTGATTATGTCAATTTAGCAGCATAGGTTGTAGTTTATGCGGAATGAATTACATCTATTATTGATAAATAACTATTGAAATATAATACGTTGAATACAGTAATAGAATATATTGAGAAAAATGAACAAAAACAGGAAGATAAAAAAAAACAACATTCTATGGAAAAATTGATAATTAGATAATTGATCATAAAAATGTGTTTTGAAAAATATTCTTTGATTAATAATCATTAAAAATGTTCATTTGTTAAATTGTGCCACATATCAATTGATTGATTTGGACATTTTATCATTAAGAACCAATGTTTCAAATAATCTCCACTTTCCGATTGACCTAATCGAATTCCACCTAATAGAAAAATCTTATTTAGTTATTTATTTTAATATACATAAATTAATATTCAATTTTTATCTCTTAATTCATTAATCAATATGATTAATAATTAAAATCATTTATTCAATTATCTCTCAACAATTTTATTATTGAATTACTCAATGAAATAATTACTAATTAAATATTATTTTAAATGAGAATTCGAATTTTGTTCTATTTGAAAACTCAGTTGTTTCTATATTGAAATAAAATTAAAAAAAACATGTTGAGATAATTATTAGAATGATATTAATTGTTAATAAATTGATAAAATCTAATTACCAATAAAATTATTTTTTTTTTCAAAATCATTATTATAAATAGTTATTTGTAATGTTTTACTAATTAATTGTTTTAATTGAATATTTTTATAAATAAATTCTTGATTAATATGTGTGTTAAATATTTGTTTTTTAATATCTACATTAAAATTTGTTTTGTTCGATAAATAATCAGATGAAAATAAACATAATTGACAATAAAAATTTGATTTTTGATCAATATCAATTGGTAATAAATAACAAGCACGTTTTATTTTAATATGAAAATTTGATGTTTCATTTGAATACATAAGACTAATTAAAACTTTTCCACGTTCATTTATATCTTCATCATTTTCACACTAAAAAAAATTTCTTATTAATTTATTATTTTATCGATATTTATTTCAATTATACTAATCTACTTTTTAGAATAATAAATGAATATTATATACTCCTAAACAAAAATTAAGTTGTTGTCTTTTTTTAAAGTTAATAACATATTCTGAAAATGTACGAGATTTCTATCAATCTGTATACTTGTGTTTTCGTTTGAATATATATTACCATAAAACATTGATTTTAATAAAGATATCTTCATGTCAAGATTGCTATAGACTTAATCTTATCATTGTCGCCAAAATTAGTTATTAAAATTTTTTTACACAGAGTTGAAAATAATATTATTCAAGAAGGATACCACTATAATTTCATATAAAAAACATAATAAATTTTATATTAAAAGAAAGCTCGTCGAAAATGGGTTTCATTGATACTAAATAGTGAGAGTAATGAAAGTTTTACTCGACGTAGAAGGCTGAAATATTTATTATAAACACATCTGATCCAGATCTTTTATTGCTGAAAGTTTCAGCTCTCTAGTTATAACTAGTGATAAAATACATTGACAAAACTGAATACATCAATTTTCATAATCGATTTCTGCATATATGTTTACTTGGAAACTATTTTAAGGTAGTTTTAAGTGTAGTCAACCAAAAAATCACAAAGTATCAAAAAAGTTTTCTTTCGTATCAGATTTTGTAAAGCTTTTTTCGCCAGTCATTTTTGTAAAAGAAAACTTTTCGAATTTCATTCAAAAATGACAATGTTATGGTTAAAAAATAAAACACTGTAAAATAGCTTAAAATGTAAGGAAAAATCAATTCATAAATCTCAAAATGGCTATTTTTTGAAAAAATGTGGTATAATAGCTTTGATAGAGCAAAGTTTGCTCTATGAAACCCAACAGATGGTTTCTCAGATACGGACGAATAGAATGAATAAATCACGATTGAACATTATATACGATATTTCTATCAAAAAAAAATCTGAAATCTTCCATTTTTATGATATATATTTTCATTATAACGTCGTCTTTTTTCAACGAAATCCAAAAAATGTTTTTTATTAAAAGGATCAGCGAAAAAAAACTCTACAAAATCTTATGTGGTAGAAATTTTTTGGATACTTTATGACTTTTTGGTTCGCTACGCATGGAACTATCCAGCGAAATCGATTACGAAAATTTATGTATTCAGTTTTGTCAATGTATTTTACCACTAGTTATAGCTAGAGAGCTGATACTTTCAGCAATAAAAGATCTGGATTAGATGTATCTGTGATAACAATTTTAGCCTTCTACATCGAGTAAACCTATGAGAAATACGAATAAAAAATTATCCTCAGTTATTATGGGATACTCTTTAGAGCTTATGGAGCTCTACAAAATTGTATATATGAAAAAATTTTCCAAGTCATTTTTTGTGATAAATACTTTAAAATCTATGTGAAAAATCTTTAAAAGCTTTAAAAAAAACACATCGTTTTTATATGAAAGGAAAGTATTCGAATTTTCAATAAAATAAGCTTTTTCTTGATTAGTTTTGCTCCCTCAGGCATTTCGAAATAAATTTATTTGATGCAACGTCATAAACTGTATTCAACGAGTAAGTTCGTAACTTGTGACACAACAAAAAATAATGAACGAAAGCTAATTTTATTGAAAAATCGAATGTTTTTGTACCATATGAAAGAAATAAAGTTTTTGAGATTTTCTAAGTTGTTTTTTGAATTTTTTATCTTAAAAAGATAGTTTAAAATATTTCACTATTTAGTCTCAATGGTCCCCTTTCTTTTGATATAAAACTCATTATATCTTTTATATGAAATTGTAGCGGTATCCCCTATAAATAGATATCATTTCCAACTCTGTATAACTCTAGAATTAGTTTTTTTTTGGAAAAAAAATAGTGATTATTTATTCTGATAGCAGTTGAAATTCTCTATTAACCTGTATACTTGTTAACAATTTTACAGTTATTTGATGAAGAATAATTTAAATATTATACTGATACACTGCTCCTTAATAAATTCTAACTACATATCTCGTTTTTTGTTTCAAAATAAGAAACATATTACTAAAAATAATCATACCTTATAATATGTAACGGGTGGTCCAGAGAAAAAGAGTCAAATTTTATTTTTTATTTTTCTCCATATGGTCTCAATCGTTTGTCCTAAATTTTTTACCAAAAGATGCGCTGTGTAATTCTCTACAAGAATATAAGAGGATGTTTGATATCGAATAGAAATATGTTGGAGCTTCACAATATTATTTGTGAAGCTCCAACATGTCCAACTTTCTAAACTTTTTAGCAAAAATAAACATTTTTGTTTTGTTTTATTCGTTAGCACTTTGAGGCATAAAAAAAGCTAATTAGCCATTTTGTAGCGCGTGAAAAGCTGTATCTTTCAACTGTAATAAAAATGTTTTCGCGTCACAACATGTAGCGGAAGATAAATTTTTCTTTTTTCCAGATTTTCCAAAAAACTATGTTTTTGGATCAGTAGTTTCGGGACATTCGGGAAAGTTCGCATACGTCGATCAAAAATGAATCCTTTTAGCTTATTTTATTTTATTTTAAAGAGAAATGAATGGTGCATTGCATCCAAACGTCAGAAGTTGAATACGTTCTTATTTCGAATGACAAGAGCAAAATAAGCTAAATTTTAGCCGTTTCTGATCTAGTTTCAAGAAATTAGTTGTTGATTCATAATAAATACTTGGTTGAAACAGATTTTACTCTATACTACGAGAAAGAGCACACTTAACTGTAGGAGAAGAAAAACTTGCCTTGGTGATTTTTATTTATATAACCATAGAAAACAATCTGAATTTTTTGAGAGAAAAAATTTAGAAAGTTGGACATGTTGAAGCTTCACAATATTATTTGTTGAATTTTTCCATACTTAATTTCGAGATCAAACATCCTCTTATATTCTTGTAGAGAATTTCACAGAGCATCTTTTGGTAAAAAATTTAGGACAAACGATTGAGACCAAATAGAGAAAAACAAAAAAATAAAATTTGGCTCTTTTTCTCTGGACCACCCGTTATATAAAATAAATACTTACATCAATTTTATCTTGTAAATAAACCGAATATATTTGACATTGATCAGATTTAATTGTTGATAATTTAAAACGATATTCACCAAGAAAATAATTCTCAAATGAATCTTTATCATAGACCGAAAATCTTTTTATTTAATTAAAAACAAAGAAAAAAGAATGTTGTTGATTTTGTTTTAAATCAATATTATCTTACTTAATTGATTTATAATTAATATCATCTAATGATATACCATCATAAATAAATGTTTCATCAATATTACCATTTAGTTTGTTACCAATTACATTACTTTCTAATTGAGTTGACTAAATTATATTAAGTTTTAGTTTAAATTATTCATTTAGGAATTTATTTAGATATTTTATTTTCATTTCTATATACAGATATCGATATAAAATTAAGTGAATATGTTTTTTTCTTTAAATGATAAGAAATTTAAAAAAAACGTAAGAAATAAATTACTTTACGAATAGCTGGTAGAAGATCTAATGTAAAATAAATATGATTATTTGATTGAATATTTTCTAATTTTATTAATCTTATTATTAATTTATATTCAGATTGTTTCCAAACAATTTCAAAATCTAATTTTCCAACTCCTTAATATAAAACAAATAATAAAATAAATATTTAAAAAGAAAAATCGAACCACAATTTTCATTTATCGGTGATAATATTATATGAGAATCATTTGATGGTACTGTTGATTTAATTAATATTGATTTTGATGAATATTCATCAATTGAATCTTCTTGAAAACAAAAAATAAAAACGATTTCTATTTTAACAAAATAATTGAAATAAATATTTATCTACCTTTTGAAAATACTTTATTAGTTTTCAATGAATTAATTCTTTTTTCATCTTGATTATTATCATCATTCGATATCACTAAATTAAATCAATATAATTTTCTTTAGTAAAATCATTTCATGACAAACATCTTTTATTAAATCGATCTGTTATCGAATCATCATCATCATCTGAACTTGATTGATCATATATAACTTGGGTATCATCTATAAATAATTATGATGGTCAAATAGTTACTAGTCAATCTTAAATTGTGAATAAATTTTAATAGGAACAAGATTTAGACCTGTGGTTTTCACTGTTCGAAAAAGAATGATGTTCAAAACATTGACTTATATAATATTCAATAAGATAAAAGATGCTTTTTCATTGATATTCTTTATTTTCATGATAATCTCATCTTAAATCACGCCAAACTCATCCATTTTTCTCTATAAATTGATCATTTGATGCATTGTTCCGTCGACTTCCTTTCTCAAATAAGCCTTTTGAGAAATAATGATACTTGCGTAGCAAGATGGAACGAAATTCTTGTGAAAATAAAGAATATCAATTAAAAAGTATCTTTCATCTTAGTGAATATAATATAGATCGATGATTCAAACATTGCTCTTCGCAGGCCTAGATCTTGTTCCTATTAAAAGATATTTGCAATTTAAGACTGACCGATAACTTTTTAATCAGTCTGTATATATAAAATAGTTATTAACTAACGTTTTTTGATATGTTGTGATGATACAATTGATGACAATGAATTAATATCAAAAGTAAATGTTGAAGGTTTAGGAAAAGAATGAAAAAACCAAGCAGCTGATTTTTTCCATAACTTAAATAATATAATAGAAAATTAATTATTTAGATAAAATAAAAAATTAACTTGACGATTTTCACTACGAATATTGCATAATGATACAATATTTTGATTAAAATGAGTTTGAATTGAACAATTATCACATACTAACTAATTATAAGTAAAAATTACTTTTAACATATGTTGTTGTTATTTTTTTTTTTAATATTCTATATTCATATTTTACTTTTTGGCAATCAGCACATGAAACAAATGATCGTGATAATATTCCTCGTTTATTCGAACATAGTAAACATTGCGATGAACCATTACCAGTTGCATTTTTTTTCATTTTATCAAGACGATCAATTAATTTACTTTATTATTTTAAAATAAAAACAAAAATATTAATAAGAAAACGAAAAATAAAATTCTACCGAATACGTTCCTGTTCAAGAAATCTAACGTATTGATCACGTTTAAGAACATTTTCAATATGTGCAATTTCTTGATTAGTTAATGATTTTTTATTAAAATTATTAGGTATAGTATCATTCGATTGATAATTTAATAATTGAATATTTGTATGATATGACCAACCAGAATTTAATCTAATAAATTTATTTTATAATATTTAACAAATAAAAATTCAAATATAAAAATATTCAATGATTAAATTTTCAATCGGATGATACTTTGGACATAAAAATCGATCATTAAACATCAGTTATTTATTATTACAATCAATATATTATATTAATCTAAAATAAAATTGTTTTATCTAAAATGATTTATTTCTATTAAAAAACAAAAGTTTATTTATTGGTTATAAATATCTATTAAATATATATATATATATAAGTTGATCAAGACGATTCATTCAAATCTCTAAATAACAAAACAAAAAATGTTTCATAGATTTAATCAAATGAAAATAATATTTTTCGTTTCTAAGCATTAATATTTACCTATATATATATATGTACATATTTACTTTCGAATCTGTTCATATATAACATCAATTATTTTTTTATTTCTTAATACTCGTTTATTTTAAATATCATTATCGAATAAATAAATATGATCGATTTTCTTAAATGTTAAATTTTAATTTTTCAAAACTTAAATCAATCGTAGTTAATCTCGATATAAATATAGAAATTCTTTTGAAGTTATTTATAAAACAGTCATATCATTATCTTTACGAACGAGAGAACTCT